TCGCCCCAGTCGCGTTCCACTTGACACCAAACGCCATTACTGAGGTGGAGTGATTTGGAGCCCGAGAGCAAAGGCCCCGACCTACCCCCCTGCCTGTCGGGCCCGCCGCTCCCCGGACCGGCTCTGGAGAACCCGCCGCTCCCCGGCCCGCGGTCCGGGCGCCCGGGCCGGCCCAGCGCCCTCCTTCGCCCAGCCATCGCCCCCTCTTGTAGTTGGCCGGCGGCCGGGGTCGGGAGTGAGCTTTGGGTGCAGGCGTCGCGCCCCGAACTCCCTTGGACGGGGACCACCTTTGCTATTTTTAACTGTCTGCCGAGAGAAAAGTGGGAAAAATAACCACCCCCGGCCTAGGGGTGCGATGTGGGGAGCAAACCTCCTGATACTCTGGCTGCAAGGCTTCGCTTGGGATAAATGGGGTGTTTTCATTCATTGTCAAACCTGAACTTGGACATTTAGGGAGCAGGTGGATGGGCGTTTTGTGCTATTTCTAGGGATTTCTGTGGCAACTGGAACTGAACCTGGGGTTTTTAGGCTTTACAGTAGGCTCTGCGTGTGAAGTATTTACATCATAACTGCTTGAAGAAAAAAATGTCCTGGGGGGGATGGGGTGAGGTTGGTGGGAGCGTACCTCGAGTTCCAACGTGAATTGACTGCCCCCCAGTGCCATTTACTTTACAGGTGTGTGTGATTTCTTCTGATTTGTCTTTGAATTTTAGCTGAACTGCTTGTAGGGGCCTCTCACGGCCATGGAGTCGATTCCGATTCATGGCGACCCTATAGGTAGGGCAGGTTTGAATTGCCCCTGTGGGTTTCCGTGACTGTAACTGTTTTACATAGGGAGGGAAAGCCTTGTCTTTATCCCACGGAGCGGCTGGTGGTTTCGAACTGCCACTCTAGGGATCTCAGCCCAACTACTCCACCTGGGAGGGCTTCGATGATTTAACTATTCATGGTCTTTTTTTCTTTCTTTTTTTTTTTCTTTCTGTGAGGGAAATGTCTGTAGCCTTCTTTGCCCGGAAAAACCCAGAGTCTCCTAAATCTACGGAACGTTTGCAAACCTTCACTTAGCTGGAGGAAAATTGGGGGTACATTGCTTAGAAACTTTACTTCCGCAGGTACTTAACCTGCTCTAGAATTCATTAGGTCCCCTTAGTAGCGATTATGTGTTAAGAACTACTTATGGACTAGTATGGCTATCGGACTCGTCCACTTGAGCTTGAATTTAACGAGACTATAAGCTGGCTTTTAGATCGCATGGCCTAATGATGCGCAGTGGGCTGCCATTTTGGTTTTAGCAGATGCCTCCCAAGTTTTTAAAGATTTATTAAATATAAAAAGTATCACCATCTGCTTTTTCTCAACGTTACATTTTACATGAATGTGTGTAAACTTACATATAATCTACATCCTTTAAGCTTTATTGTTCAGTATTTGAGCCAAACAAAGGCCTGGAAATATTTGGAATAGGCATTTCAAGGGTGAACTCATGAAAAGGTTAAATATAAATATGTATCTTCGTATGTTTTGCTTTTGCTACATATTAGACTTGAGGACTATATGCATGTTTCTCCACTAATTTTTTTTTCCTTTTTCCTTTTGGCAGTTAGCTGTTCAAATTCTTAATATTCTTGGGCTGTTTTTTCTTTGCTGACCTTGGTGGTTTCTCAAAAAATTTCCAGGGGGGGGGGGAGTATATAATAGTAAGAACATTACATGTGAGAGTCTTAAGTTCTTCAAGAAGTAACTTTGAAGGGTAGATTTTACTTTCCACCACTCTATTGAAATTGTGTGGTACATTAAGGTAACCTATTAGGATCTCGAAATGCATTTTCCCTACCTCAGAAAGATGAATTTTTTTCCCTCCTGGATAAATTCTTACAGATCATTTTTTGACATGGTATTAATGTTGCTGATGTTGAAAAAGAATGTCATGAATTGTCGATTCATCTTGTTCTTGAATAGTTAAACGAATGCAAGTTTTCTTTAGTTTGTCTTTATTTTCATATGATGACTTAAAAACTATGGACATTTAGGCTTTTATTTCAGCATGTTAGTAGTCAAATCAATAATTGTTGAAGCCAGGTTAAAGAAAACGATTTGAAATAGGGTTTGAAACAGAGATTATCCTTCTGGTTGGAAGATTTTTGGGCAATAAACTGGGGGTAGGGGTGGGGGATTGTATCCTGTACTCATTGAGCAAGTTGATTTTTATTTTCTGAAGAACATAGTATTTTGTTAATATGTTCTCTGAATTTTGAAATATTTTTCTTTTGTTTTCAGATATTGGATTCCCCCCCCCTAGCCCCGTAAGCCATCAAAATTATTACCAAATAGCACTAATATAGGTGAAAGGGTTAATGCAGTGAACCTCAACCCGACTGCACTTTACAAGCATGGGGGGAGTTCAAGACAGAACCAAACCAAACTGGTTCTTTGGTTTCATACCCAGAGACTGGTTAACTGATCAGATATTGAGGCCTGGGCAAAGGTTATATTTCAAAAACTGCCAGAGTTAAGAATCAGTGTAAAGTTGAGAAAAGGCAGATGGTGATCCTTTTGTATATAATAATAATCAGTTATTACTCATGGGGCATGTTTTTGTAGAGCTTTCAAGTGAATAAATAGGAAAATGGGTTTTCCTCCCTATATTCGTTTATCAGTATAATTATCAGTTTTTTGAACCTGTGTGCCAGCATCGTGCTAACCAGTTTTCATTAGTTTCTTTATATAGATAATGCCATCTCCATTGTAAGGACAAGGGATGATGTCTTAGCCGCATCTATGATGGTGCTTCAACTATTGGGCCACGTTAGTGAGATGATACTGACGACTATTCGTTAAGCATTAAAAACCTTTGGGTTTGTATTCTGTGACAGAGTAGCTCTAGGTTTTGTTTTGCTTTGCTTTTAAAACGATCAAAATACCGATTGGGGAAATATATCAATTGGCCAAGGGCAATATTAGAAATCTTTGCAGCAAAAAATCTTCCAGATGTCTCCCAACATGTTCAGGGTGATATTTTAGTTGGTGGGTTTGTTTATGACTAAAATGTTAGTCAACATTCCTAAAAGAAGCAGAATTCCGGCATTTGTCTTCCAGTCATTTATTTAAATCATTTAAAAAAAGAACATTTAGTACATGTGAAATTTTTATCAGTTTGAGATTTCTGAGTTGGGCCTTACTTTTACAATCAGTTACTTCCCATAAAAGGTTTTTCAAAAAGAAGGGTTTAATTTAGTGTGTTAGTAGCAGTTATGGTATTGTTTGATAACTTATTGAAGGAATGAAGTAGCAATAACATGTATTTGGTGTGTTTCCCTTTTAAAAATCGCTTTGGTCTATTAAGGAACTCTGGGGACACTGGTAAGTATTGGGTTTAACCACAAGGTCAAGGTCAGTGGTTCAAACCTACTAGCTACTCTTTGGGAGAAAGATGAAGTTATCTCCTTTCTCAAGATTTACAGTCTCGGAGGTCCTATATAGCAGTGGTTCTCAACCTTCCTAATGTCGCGACCCTTTCATACAGTTCCTCATGTTGTGGTGACCCCAAACCATAAGATGATTTTCCTTGTTACTTGTAACTAATTTTGCTACTGTTACAAATCAGGTGACCCCTGTGAAAGGGTCATTCGACCTCCGCCGCCCCCCCACCCCCCAGGGGTCCTGACCCACTGATTGCGAACCACTGCTATATAGGATTGTGATAGTGAGTTGATGTGGTCTGTTGGGCTGATTCTATATTGGGGGCGGGGGGACCTAGTTCAATCTATGAACGAGATTTTCCAACGATCTTTCTGTTAAAGGAAATAGGACTACGATCTTTAAAAAAGGACAGAAGACTTTAGTAACTTCTGAATCTTCTTATGTGCATCGGGGTTTGAATTTATTTATTGCTGTGCATTTTAGTGTGGTTATGATGATGAGTATAAAATACTTTTATGAAGTAATGTGTAAAAAAACATTTCTTGGGGGGGTATGCTAATCTAGATTTATTCTTCAAATGTGCAACATACAGTATAAGCTAATGGAATTTTTCTGTTAGAGGTCAGGAAAATAAGTAAAGAGATACATTCTGAACTTTTGCCAATAAGCCCCAAATGTCAAGTATGGTAGAAACTGATACTTTTTTATTAAGTTGCATATTGGTTTTAGGAATAGTTATACTTAATAACAGTTTTTGGCCAGAAACATGAGTGTAGTATCACCTCTTCCTGTTCCTTTTCTGTAACTCCTTATTTGTATTTTTCTTTATTATTGTTTTACTTTTATCATTTGCTTTGATTAATTTTGTCCTCTAAATTCTATTTTATAGGTTGGTGGCACCCATCTGATCAGACTCCAGATCCTAAGTCACTGATAAATCTCTAGCACACCTAGAACGTGCCTGGCATTTAGATCATCCCCAGTAACGATTGAATGAGAGTCACTTCAACATAGTATGTTCTCTATGGTTTATTTCTTGGCTTTAAAAATTCTCTTTGCTTTTTGGAATGGCTTAAACTGACCTAAACTTTTATGAGCAGTCATGGAAAGGAATCTAGAGCTACTCAAACTTTTTTTTTAAGGAAAATGGCTCAGAGAATGAAGTAATTTGGCCAAGGTAGCATGCAATCAATAGACAATCTTGCATGAAGTTCTTTCATATCATGATGTGGCACATTATTTACTAAATTCTCTGAATTCTTGTTTCCTTTGTAGTCACACTCAAATTTACACTCAATTCTCTTCTTAATAATTGGTGATGAACTTGTTGGCAAAATTAGGCATTCTGTTTTATGTTTATGTATAACAGAGCACCTAGAATAATTTTGTTTACAGTATTTTTTGATTGAAGCAAAATTGGGGGTGGGGAAGCAGTATGACTTTAAATACCTAGAACTGCCTACACAGAATTGGTATTTCACTTTAAAGCTCTTTACATTAGTTTATCCTTTCTATTACCATTGAATCAAATATAATTAAATTTGAACAAGTTGAACATGTTGGTCAACCATTGTGAAAGGAATTGATTTTCTTTGGACCATCTTGAGCTGGGAGTCACAGATAGTGGATCCCACTCTATATACCAGAGACTGAATTAGGAAGAGAAGAAAGTATAGCACCAAAAAGGGAGTAGGTTTTACATCTTTCCCAATCCCTTGAGCTCCTTTTCCTTCCAGCTCACTTTTCTGGTTATTGAGAGTTGTAAGGTTCCTGGTTTTCGCTCTTTTCTTTCAGCCAATTAAGTTGGAATAGTACTAGGGGGCTTCAGAAAGCTCGTGGAAAAATTCCCTCTTATTAGACCTCTGACTAAGAGAGCATTTAGTCTATCATCAAAGTAGTATGGAAAAATTGGCCTGCTTTCTCTGATAACCCCCTCCATAGTTCAGGAAAAGGATCAACAAACGTTTTTCTATAAAAGGCCAGATAGTAAATATGTGGCTGCTTCAAAAAGTTTGTGGAAAAATAGAATGAAAAGATAATGGGGTTTAGCCATGACCTTTGAAGCACCCTTATATTTTAGGTTTTGTGGGGAAGGAGGCAAAATTAAGGATACGAGGTAAATTTTTATTAATACAACTTTTTAAAAAAGTAATGATTGAATGCAATTTTTTTGTCATTCACTTTTATTTTAAGGAACTAAATTCTTTGGGGGAGGAATAAACAGTTTATTTAGCTGGGGTTTAAACTTAAGTATACTCCAGTATCAAATTTATTGCACATGTTCCTGTATGAAAACCTGACTTAGCTTGTGGACTAAGCAAAAACAGGAAGGCTGAACTTGGTTGGCCAAGCAGAGTCTGCCAGCCCTAGTTTAGAGCAATGATTACTCAAACTCGGAGGCTTTGTTAAAATGACTTGCTGGGGCCCTGCCCTCAGAACTCGTAAGTCTAGAGTCAGCAAGTCTGGAACAGCAGAGCCTTAGAACGTGCATTTCTAACAAATTCCCAAATCTTGAACTACTCTGGTGTAGAGATTAGGATTGTCACTTAAATTTCTGGAATTCTGTCTTGTATCTTTCACTTTTTACTTTTAAGTTCAACAATTACATACTAAATTTCTGTTATGTACCTAGGTATTACACCAGGTGGTAGCTCTGATAGTGCAGTGGTTAAAGTGCTTGCTAACCAGCCACGGAGGGAGAAAGGTTCAACAATCTGCTTCTATAAAGATGACCGTCTTAAAACTCAGTGGGGGCAGTTCTGTTCTGTCCTTAGAGTCAGAGTTTGAATAGACTTTAGTGCAATTGATTTGGTGTTAGGACTTATCAAAATTTCAGGTGACAGGGATCCAAGGTGAGTGGAACAAAATTCTTAAACTGTTTATGGTGTGTAATTTATTTCTGCAAATCCTTTAAGGGCTTAGCATCTGAGAGACAAAGGACATCATTTTGAAAGCACGATAGTGGTGTTTTTGATATTCATATTACAGGAAGGCTAAACTGGAAGCATTGCAAATATAACAGTAGTACTTCATTTGATGTCTTACTTTGGAAAATCCAAACCAAATACACCACCTTCAGGTTGATTTTGATTCAGCAGCCCTACGGGGATTTGCAAAGACAGAAAATCTTTCCGGGAGCAGACAACCTGATCTTTATCCTGTAAAATGGCTGGTGCGTTCACACTGCTGACCTGGTTAGCCGCTGAGCACTCAACTAACCAACCACTCTGCCATCAGGGCTCCTGTCTCGGGAATATGAATTAAAAAAAGAAATTTGTAAATATGTGAACTATAGTGAAGATTTTATATGCTCTATAATTTTTATTTGGTTATGAAATTGAGTTCTATAAGAAAACGTTAAAAAAAAAGTTTAGGGGAACATGAGAGAATAAATACAGAGTGCCTTTGATGTTTCCACCATATGAGAGCAACCATATTATTTCCATCCTAACTCATTTCATTTTTGTTTTAATTGGGTGGGAATACTGTAGATACAGCTTTTCCCCATTGTATAACATTTTTCCATGAATATTTTTTTCTGGGCCTATAATTCATTTAAATGAATTGATCATTTAATTTTCCCTTGATGGTCTTGTCAATTACCTTTAATTTTTCACTTAGGCAGTGATGAACATTTTTGAGTGAATGTTTTTTGAATTTCTGATGTTGAATCAAAGGTTCTAATCAATTAATTAGTTCACTAAGCAGTACTTTTTCATGTCTGCTGCCTCTACTTGTGCCCTTCCCACTCCTGTTGTCTTTTTAGGTACTAGGGGTTTGTTTGTTTTTAATACTTGCGAAAACTCTCATCATGAAGTTTATTTTAATATAACTCAAACCAAAACCAGACTTATTGCCATCGAGTCAGTGCTGACTCATAGTGAACACCCCCCCTCCCCTTGGGTTTCCACGACTAACTCTTACAGGAATAGAAAGCCCAGTGTTTCGCAAGAGGAGGAACTGGTGGTTTTGAACTGTGGACCATGCGGATCACAGCCCAAGGAGTAACCACTGCATTGCCAGGACTCCTTTTTTGATATAATTATCAACTTAATTTTGCATACACACACACACACACACACAGACAGCCCTGTTCCTCCACTTATTTGGACTATCCCAATTCTTCATACAGGTTTAATACCTTCCCACTTGTGACTTTGTTCTTTTTTGATAGCCTTTTTAGGAAATTCTTCATTTGCTATTGCGATTTATGTGCATTAAAAGGTCCTTGGCACTTTTGAATTAAGTTTTTTTGTTTTTGTTTTGTTTTTCTTCAGTAGTGGTGATAACATCCTCACCAAATCAGATGCAGCAACTTACACATTTGCAGCTTGGTTATATAGATTATATATTTCATGTTGAGCCACCATTATCATGGTTCTCATCCACAACATTCTGTTACATAACTTCCATATAAAAAAATAAACTCCAAACTTAACTAAAATCTTTATAGGAGTAGAAAGCCTCATCTTTCTCTGTGCAGCAGCTGGTGAGTTCAAACGGCCAACATTGTGGTGAGCAGTTCAGTGCCACCAGAGCTCGGTGCCACCCATTGAAAAACTCCCCCTTTCACTCCCAGCTCTGGAGACAATTAATAGTCTTTGGTTTATCTGTTTGCTGCTTTCTTTTTTTAAATTTTTATTTGCTGCTTTCTTATAAGTGAGCGTATAATAGTATTTTTGAGATACATCAACTTCATTTTTCTTTTGGGTTGCATAATGCATGGTATGTATAAAATGCACATACTGTTGTTATCTGTTCATCAGCTGGTGGACATTTTTGTGGTTCTTTTACCTTTGGCCATTGAGAAAAGTGCTGCAGTGAACAGCGGTGTAAATGTTTTCAATACTAAGTCTTATCTTTGTGTGTGTGTGTGTGTTTATGATGCTCTTACAATTATTTTCACTGTCAGTTGTGGTTCAGTCTTCTCTCTTTAATCTGCCAATTGGGAAATTAGATGACTGTGCATATTATAGTTGTATGTAAATTTATGAGCGAGAGTTTCTCTCAAATCTTCCAGGAGCTCTGGTTCCTACAGGTATTTACTTCCTGTTTTGAATGTTAGCTAGTCCTCAGCTGTGATACATTTGTATCATCTCTATTTCTGTGTACAATATGTTGATAGATCTGAACTTCTCTTCCTTAAATGTCGACTTGTGTGCATTAGCTGATGAAAACCTTGGTGTTTTGTTTTGTTTTTTGCAACCTAAGGGGTATTATCTACCTGTCAGCAGCTTTGCTGTATTTGTACATCAGTATCTTGTGCATTTATGTGCAATTTCAGTTTTATTTTGTTCTTACAAAAATGAGCAAAAGACTGAAGAAAAGGGTAGAAGTGCACGAGTGGTAGGTCTTACACTTAATCTCCTTGAGACAGTGGGAACTGATGAGACATGACTCTTTAGCCTTAGTGAGTTCAGGTTGTGCTCTTTGGTTAAGTTACTTAATTTTGTTCAATAATGAAGAAAGTGATTATAATGAAACAGGAAATTAAATATTGCAAATCTGATAATAGAGCCTTTATGTGAAAGATGAGATGTAATTTGGGGATTTTATCATACTTTCCTGCCCTCTAGGAGTGACTGAAAGCCCTAAAAATGTGAATCAGTTATCCCACATTGGAACACTTGACTCTATCACATTTTCAAGGAAAACACTATGAAATGAGGTGTGTACTGCCTATCTTCAATAAAATGAGCCTAGAAAATCAACACCATCATATTTAATGTGCTCTTGCTATTAGTCACAATCAACTTGATGACATTGGGTTTTGTAGCATAGGAGGGGCCTTCAAAAAGTTTGTGGGGAAAATCCACTATCTTTTAAATTACATTTTCCCAAGAACTTTTTGATGGCCCCTCCTATCAAGTTACCATCAAGTTGATTCCAACTCTTAAGTAAGAACCACTGAAAGAGTTGTTAATTTGGAACCTGCTAAGGTAGGTTAGGGAGAGAGATTTGTGAGGTGGGACTGTGAGGAGAACCCTAGAAGTACATTCCTTGCCTGAGATGAGCAGGTGCCATTTTCAGAGCCTTGTAAATATTAAACTTTCTCAAATGCTTACCTGACAGTGCCACCAAGGCTCCTTCCTTACTTCTTACCTAATGGGGAGATTATTAAAGCATATCTCACTCAGAAAGGCTAGAATCTGCATCCAGAGAATGTTCACTGTAAGTGCTCCATGGAGGTATTATTTTATCACTTTAAAAAATTGTGATTATAAAGTCAGAGTAGAACTAACTGCCCCTTTGAGTTTCTGAGGCTGTAACTCTTTAGAGGTGCATAAAGCAATTTTTTTTCTTGGCAGAGTGGCTGGTGGATTCAAACGGCTTGTATTTAACCCGCTGCACTACTAGAGCTGCTCTTGGTATCCCTGGAGATGTAGAAAAACTGGAGTCTGAGAAATTTTCAAGTGAAGGTAAAACATGAGTTGTTGATGGGCTTAGGAGCTGTTGGATCTAGAAGTAACAGGAGAGTGGAGTAATGAAGTCAGTCTGGAAGCATTCTTTGGGTATATTGTCTGGCCAACAGCCTACGAAATGAATTCAGGGACCACCACAGACTCATAGCTAAGGGTTATGTGGTGGTGGAGCAGCTTTTGGCTTTGGTAAGTTTCAAAGTCTAGGTTAAGCTTAAAACCAATGCTGTTGCTAAAAAGCGATGTAGTCTGCTAGGGAAAGTAATATTCAGGGGAAATAGTTTTGTTTTTTCCCTCTGAATTGAAGATGAAAATATGCAGATAAATATAGTAGTGATTTTCAACGTCTGGCACAGATGGTTTCAGACAAAATGTTGGCACCTCCTTTTTCATCACTGTAAAGAACCCTAGTAAAAGACGTTCATTTTTATATACTTCTTAGGCCAGCACTTATCAAATTTGTTATTTAGGATCTCTTTCTACTTGTGAGTTACTAATCCTAAAGAACGTTTGCTCATATGGGGTTATATCTATTAATACTTAATGGTAATAAGTTAAAATTAAGAAACTTGAAAATTTAAAGGTAACAAAACCCACTGCATGTGTTGATGACTGCTGTGAAAACTAACTCCTCCCTGAAAAATATGAATGATCAAAGTGGTATTTTAGTTTTGTAAATCTCATATTTGGCTTAATGGAAGATTAAAACTAGAGTATTTGCTTCTGCCTTCAATCTATTGTGGTGTCATACATCATGGCCTCTAGAGAACTCCTTTGTACACCTTTGAGAGAATGAAATGACAGTGAAGTTGGCAAACGTCTTATTGTGAAGATGATTTTGGCAACTCTGACCTCTGAAAAGGATTTCAGCGACATCCAAGGTCTCTAGATCACAAGAAATGTTGGGTACATGTTTTGAATGGTGTATCTACTACACATAATTACATTGTAATTGAGATATAACTCATATTAAATAAAGTACATATATGTTACATTTTAGCAGCACAGTCTTTTTAAACCTTAACCTAGACTTTGAAACATGTCCAAGCCAAAAGCTGTTCTACCAGCACAGAACCCCCTGGTTATGAGTCTGTGGTGTTCCTTGAATTCACTTCATAGGCTGTTGGCCAAGTAAAGCTTGCTAAAAGCTTTACAAATGACATCTGCATAACCACCATTCAGATCAATATAATAGAATATTTCCAGCTCCCTGGAAGGTTCCATCATATTACCCCCACCAACTGCTGGTGGGTTGGAACTACAGACCTGATGGTTAGCATTCTCAACAACCCCACCATGAAGTATTGGCAGTCCTTTGAATTTTGACTATTTTGGTGGGAGGGCTAGGAATGGTTTCCGGCAGTTTAAATTTGCAGTTGCCCATATCTAATGATGTTTAAGACTTTTCATATGTTTATCGTTCATTTCGCTGCTGAACTCTAATGCTTCACCTATAGAATCTGAAGCTTGACCTTTAATAGCAGAAACTGGAGTCGTGTTTATTATTGTATCTATATCTGAATACTGTATACAAAAACGTGGACATTTTCTTTTTTTAAAAAACATTTTATTAGGGGCTCATACAACTGTTATCGCAATCCATACACACATCAATTGTGTAAAGCGCATTTGTACATCATTCTCAAAACATTTTCTCTCCACTTAAACTCCCGACATTAGGTCCTCATTTTTCCCCTCCCTCCCCGCTCCCCCTCCCTCATGAGCCCTTGATAGTTTATAAATTGGTATTTTATCATATCTTGCCCTGTCCGACGTCTCCCTTCACCCACTTTTCGGTTGTCTGTCCCCCAGGGAGGAGGTCACATATAGTTCCTTATAATCGGTTCCCTCTTTCCTACCCACTCTCCCTTTACCCTCCCTGTTTCGCCACTCATACCACTGGTCCTGTAGGGCTCATCCGCCCTGGATTCCCTGTATTTTCAGTTCCTTTCTGTACCAGTGTACATCCTCTGGTCCAGCCAGACTTGCAAGGTCGAATTTGAGTCATGGTAGTGGGAGCGGGGAGGAAACATTTAGGAACTAGAGGAAAGTTGTATTTCTCATCGTTGTTAACATCACACCCTGACTGGCTCGTCTCCTCCCTGAGACCCCTCTACAAGGGGATCTCCAGTGGCCTACTAATGGGCTTTGGATCTCCACTCTGCACTCCCCCCATCATTCACTATGGTAAGATTTTTTGTTCTGATGATGCCTTATACCTGATCCCTTCGACACCTCGTGGTTGCATAGGCTGGTGTGCTTCTTCCATGTGGGCTTTGTTGCCTCTGAGCTTGATGGCCGAACTTAGACACTTTCAATAGATGGCTGGTAGGACATCTGAATAAGACTATCTCAATATTAGATCTCAATAAGACCATCATAAAAACAAATATAGCTTAAACATAATAGTGATATTGACCTAAAGGAAGAAATTTCAAATTCTTTTACCCGCCCCCCTTCCACCCCAATTCTTGAATTTCCTTTTTATATCCTTTACTTTCTACATTTGTGAATTACTCAATTTAGCTATGGAAAATTCAAATAGTACCTATTAGATGGATACATGTACACAGTGTTCATTATTAATAATCGTCAAAACTTACAGTGGTTTTAGTTTTGCCAGCATTTTATGATTGAAGTAGTAACTTGAGTAGCTTGTCTTAATCCATCCGTAGGCATGTATGTAACTTGCATCTAACATTTTAAGTCAGCAATTGCTATAATTTGTTTAGGGAATAAAATTTATTGGGATCATAATCCTTTGATCAATTTAATAGAGAATATTTAAGTAAAAGTATGGTTTTAAGAGAACCTGGGTATATGTACACTTCCAGCCTCAGAATTTTGAGGGATTATAATATAGATCTCTCTTTTTCACTATCATTGAGTCCATGCCGACTCTTCGTGAACCTGTAAGACAGTATAGAACTGCCCCTATGGGTTTTATGGGAATGAAAAGGATCATCTTTTCTCCCACAGAAGTGGTTTTGAACTGCTGACCTTGTGGTTAGCAGACCAATGCATAACCCATCACACCACCAGGGCTCTTCAGTGGTAGAAGATAGTGGCTATATACTTTCTGTTCCAGTGACCAAAACAAGTGACAAGCTTTTTGACCTGTAGTGTCCCGGCCTGTGGGACTCACGAGCAGGGCCCTGCGGGGAAAGGCGGACCTGGATGGAGAAAAGACACGGAGATGTGGAGCAAGAAAACGCTGATCAAGCTCCATTTATTTGGGCAAAGCTGGGGCATATAAAGGGGAACTGGGAGGTGCATATTTTAATAAGGTGTGCTACACAACATCCAATCCAACATGTA